TTAGATTAAGGGTTCCTTAAAAAGTTCCGCTAAGGGATTCTATAAGGGCTTAATATCGGGGCCTTCATGACGAGACCCCAGTCCAGCTTCCTGAGAACTAGCTGAGTGCATGCAGAAGACAGCCTTGATCTGCAACTGTTACTGTTTGGGGTTTAGGGTGTAGGGTTTGGGTTTAGGGTTTAGGGTTTAGGGTTTAGGGTTTAGGGTAGAAGCCAAACTAATTACCAATATTCTTCCTTGGGTTCCTTATGAAAAGAAGCCCAAAATGATTACCAATATTATTCCTTGGCTTCCTTGTTAGAATTATACTATAAAGGATTTTGGGGATCCTATTCTGATTATTGAGGCTCCTATATTACCTTTGTTAACTTGGGGTTCCTGTTACGGGTTGAGTATAGGGGCCTTAATAACGAGAATAAGGTTTTGGGGTATGTTATACTACTGTGGATGATACAAATCCTGCATTACCTTAAGGACCCTAAATTATGGGAAGTATTTTATATTCCTTATTACGGGTAATGCAGGGTTTATATCATCGACCGTATGAATACATACAGGGAGCCCCCAAAATAGTGTTGGTAATTACTTCATGTCCCTTTAGCAGGGTTTGGGTTGCCTTCAGGATGTAGGGGAAGTTTCTTGGTTCCGTTAGGGTTCCAGTAAGGGTTCCTCTAAGGGCACTATGTATAAGGTTATGGGGCTATAGGGTTGTAGGGTTGAGGGTTTTAGTGTTCAGGCCAAGCATGGGACCTCAATCTAGATTTTGCTTCGGGGTTCAGGGCTTCGGGTTTAGGTTTTAGGGTGCTTCTAGTTATGCTGAATGGAGCATTCTAAGAGAAGGAGCCATCAACTGGCGTATCGTCTTCGTAAAGCGCCCGCGGAAGTGACAGCTGTCGGAGACCTTTTCTGTACAGTGTACAGCGCATCTACGTCAGAGATATCAGAATCTCAGGCCATCTGGTTTGAGTTTCACGTTATGCTCCAGTCGGCAGAAAAAGCAACCCTAAACCCGAAACCCTAAACCCAAAACTCCAAGCAACTCGGCACTGCGAGGCCTACTTCCAGGTCATCGGAAATCATTTCCCTTGGCTCTCCGCAGAATACCGCACTGTCCCGCTCTTAGCGTCCCGTTGAAGGCTCTTTCGTAGCACATTTTACTTATAAGAATCCCTGTTAGTGCTGCCCGCAACCCTAAACCCTAAACCCTAAACCCCTAAACCCTAAACCCTTATAAACCCTAAACCTTAAACCGTTTTAGGGCAGTTTAGAGGTCTAGGGTTGCTGTAGATCCCATAAAGGACAAACTGGAGCGCCAAAAAAAACGCAATGCTTTTCGTAGAATATCCGGGTACGTGTAGCAAACCTGCAGCCACATCAAGAACCAGATTGGAAGTCTTCAGCTTCTCCCTCTTAAACCGTAACATCCAAAAGCCCTGATAGTAGAACCCTTGCAAGCACACTTGCAGAATCTTCGCAGGACCAAACCCTAAGCCCCTAGACTTACAAAGCTAAACCCCAAAAAAACGGAAACCCGAAGCCCTGGATCCCGAAACCCACACCCTGAAACCTGAACCCTAAACCCCCAACCCCCAACCCGAAGCTCGAACCCGACAGCATAGCATCCTGTATTGCAGTGTCGTATAGTCAAGAATGGTTGAAACAAGTTTAGGGTTTGGGATATAATAAAGAAGAGTTGAGTAACGTATAGCGTGGGTTGATCCAGTCATCCAGTTTTTGGTAGTAGATTTCACTGATGTTCAGGGGGGATCCATGACCTCAGTAAGTGTGCAGTTCATTCATGTAGAATAGTAAAGTATACAGTATACTACAGTGGTACACCGCAGCGTGCTAGACTTCACTATGCAGTACACGATGCTCTAAAGCATACTGCAGTGTAGTATGTTGCGGTATACCTTACAGCAGGCTTTCCTGTGTTTGTGTTGGCCCCTGGTGCCGACGCTCGCCTCTGTCCTTTGGCTTTGCACAGGGACTGTGAAGAGATTAGTATACTGTAGTTTTGGCATAGCGTGCTCTATTGGGTTCTTGTTAAAGGATTTACTTTAAGTTACCAAAATAAAGAAACCATATTATTTACAGTAGATCCCTATTATGGCAACTTAAATTAAATCCCTTAACAAGAATCCAGTCTAGTGCACACTCTAGTCTAGCATGGCAAGCCACGCTTGAGGGAGCCTCGATCCGGATTACGGAAGCCATAGCAGCTCGGCGAGGACATGAAGAAGCCAAGCGCCAAAGCCATGGTCAAGGCCAAAGCCAAGGCCAAGGCCAAAGCCAAGTCAAAGACGAAGGCGAAAGGGAAGCCGAATCCGTATCGGGAGAGCCTGGAGGTCTGCCGACAGCTCAGCGAGGGTGAGCTGGCCCTGGAAGATTTGGGGAAGAGCCCTGAGACTCAAGGCTACAAGCTGCTAAGAGACTTGCTGCCTGCCTGGCTTTCGAAGCACGAAAAAATGACGGCTAAACATGTGCCTCCGAGCTATGACTACACACTCTGGCGCTTTGCACAGGCCGCTGTGTATGTTCTAGTTGCTTTGTCGGCTTTCTGAAAACATTAGGCCCACTAGACTTTGTAGTATTGTATTTGAGAACTGAACTTTGCACACGGTGCTTGACTGTATTGCGGCGTTCTGACATGCAATATACTACGGCGACGTAGCATGCTGCACTTCAATACAGTAGTCCCACATCGACTCGATTGTACAGTATACGCTAAAGTCCCGATCCAGGTGTGCGGCTTCGAGATCGACGGGCACGGGCCCGGCTGGTCCGAAGAGTCCCTGTGCAAGATCCTTTTCTCTGACAAGAGTGACAAGCGCTTCTATACCATGGGAGTCGAGAACGGCCATTTCATCCGGGACGGTGCCCACCACTTCTACGAATACCTTGTCAGTAAAAAGATAAACCCGACAGATCTAGAGGAAAAACTGAAAATGAAGCAACTGAAAATATTGGAAGACTTGCTGGTGGCGTTTGCAGGTCTGCCTGAAAAGTCTTGTGCGAGTCATAAACTCTTTCGCTGAGAAGTGTTCAAGACGACGACCACCGGACAACTTTGAAAGCAGAAGGCAACAACATGCTGCTACGCCTTGGCTCCGCGCAATCGCCTGAAAAAAAGCGCCAGCAGCTGTACGAACCCGGACCTAAGCCCTTAACCCTAAACCTTGAGCTGCAGCACGATTTTGAACAGCGGGAGGTTGTTGGGCAAGGGAACTTCAGTTTGACCGCAACATCATCACGTTCCATGAGATCCTGGACCGTGGTACCACAGTAGACTCAAGTAAGTTATCTTACACCCTAAATTCCGAACCTTAATCCTTAATCGAAGCCTTACCGTATACTGTATAGATCCCTGAAAAAGGAAGCCTTAAGAGCCTTTTCTTATGCCCTAAACTCTGAAGCCTAAGCCTCAACCGAGGCCTTATAGATCCCTGAAGAGGAAGCCTCAACAGCCTTATCTTACACCCTGAACTCTGAAGCCTAAGCCTCAATCGAGGCCTAAACCCTAAACCCTAAACAGCCTTAAAGCCGAGGTCCCGCTGGAAGGTCCACCATGGCGTTGGCCTCAGAGACGTCTGAAAGCTCCTCCAAGAAACCCAAATCCCTAAACCCCTAAACCCCTAAACCCTAAACCCCTAAACCCCTAAACCCCTAAACCCCTAAACCCCTAAACCCTAAACCCTACACACCAAAAACCCTAAGCCCTAAACCCCTAAACCCCTAAACCCTAAACCCTACACCCCAAAAACCCTAAGCCCTAAACCCCTAAACCCCTAAACCCTAAACCCCCTAAAACTTCTAAGACCTTCTCTTCCTAGGTGGGATTAGGCTTCGAAGGGGACCCCTTCTCAACCCCATTCTGGTGCTTCTGCGGAGGGACCTTATTGAGAGGGTCTAGATCCCCCAAACTCTCCCCCTAATCCTATCTCCTATCTTTTGGGTGGCCTTAAGGGACCTGGTTTAAAGGAATCCTTAAAGGAAGCCTGTGCTACCAGGCATCGAAAATTCACTGGGGCTTCTTTGGAAGAAGGGGGTGTGGGGTTTTGGGGTTAGCATTCCGTGCATTGAGGCCCCAGAGTTTAGGATTTTGGGTTTTGGACTTCTGATTTGGGGCTTAGGGTTTAGGATTGTTGACGTTTTGGGGGGTTGTGATATCCTTTTATTTGGGAAGGGAAGCTGTTTGCTACTGGTATGTAGAGGATGGTATATAGTATATAGGTTTAGGGCTTGGGGTATATGGGTAGTTGTCAAAATTATGGTCCCTTTTGGGGTACCCTAAATAATAGGTGCCGTATTATAATAAGGACCCAAAAAAGGACCATAATTTTGACAACCACCCATATAGGTGTAGTATGGGAGGGTAGGAAACAAGGTGGCAGCAGACAGAAGCCTCAGAAACCAGTATGTTGCTCCTCTTCCACCCCATAGACACGTCATTGTAACATGTCTTCCTCCTCCGTAGGTCATATACGAATTTTGATAAGTTTATGATCTTTTGCACATCAAAGCTCTTTCCTGGCCATTGCATTTCTTATCAGGGGTGCACCCTAGGTTTGGGATTGCCACGGACTGAGGCTGGAAGGTTCCCAGGAGTCCGTCGTGGTCGTGTAAGCACGCTCGCGGCTGAATGGAAAGGAAATATCCCCAAATCATGGGAACCCTAAACCCTAAAGGGCCAAGGAGAATTTAGATTAGCAACCATGCGACGGTACTGGTGGCACTGGGGATTCCTTCGCGTATTCACAAAGATGCTTCAATATGAATGGCTTCAGGGCAAGTGAACTTCAGATAAAGATATCATTAATATCTAAATGATTTTATAATTAGATCCCTTCCTATCTAATCCCGCCGATTTCTACTCCATTTGGAAAGGTGCCTTATATATAAAATTGACGACTCTTTATTCTTGATCAGATCTATTTTCATCACCTTCCATTCAAGAATAGAATATTTTCATTAGATCTGTGCCCTTTAACGAATAAATATATTATCATAATTAATATTTCTAGAATATAGACCATATTCATAATATTATATATTAGATCTTGATGGGAATTATCTATATAATTAGATATTTCTCGATTTTGATCTATAGATATCATAATATTTTTTTCTATCACGAGAATTATAAATGATATTCAAAAAAATACAATAATAGATTTAATAATCTATTTATAAATATGATTTCTTATTATAATATTTCTGTGGTCGGATAGTTAGCAAAATATATTAAATTAATAAATTCTATATATTTGGAAAAATGAAGAAGAATTAGAACATATTGCTCATATGGAAGAAGAATAATTATACGATAATTGAATAAAAATATCGAAAAGAATTCAAATTATTA